AAAAAGCTGGAGTTCAACTGAAGTATATAGTTTTACATAAGATTAAAATAAGATTAGAACTGAGTACTACAATTATGAATATAATGCTTCATTAATTAATCATATGTTTACTTTATTGTAACAAAATAGTTTTTTTTTGATTTTCTACAACTTAATCAGATATATTTTCTTTTCGTAATATTGTAATCCGTGCTCGTAATGAATTGCATTGCACCTAACAATCGAAACATACTCGTATAAATAAAACCTGTTTCTGTAGTTATTGTTTATATTTAAATATTAACTTTTATTAATTTATGACAGAAAAGCTTTGATTTATTGTTGAGATAAATGTAAATGAATTACTTCAAGTTTTAATAATAAGAAAAGTACACAGTTATGATAGTTAAAACGAGTTAACAGTTAAATTAAATAATTTAATTAAAACGCAATCAACAACATTTAATAAATAAAAATAACTGAATTCATAAATACTAAATATGTAGATAAAAAAAAAAACTAAGTAATCAAAATACAAAACTATAATTCCTTATGCATTATGCATGAGGTAAGAATTTCCCGCAGGGATTTTTTTCTTAAACGATGCAATGCTTTTGGGTAGTATAAATAAATAATATCATTTTAATTACAAGTGGACCAATAGTCACGTGAAGTGCGTGTGCATGCGGGTAATGCATGCACTGCATGTGCCAATTAAAGCCGAAAAAAGTGCAACAAAAGAAAAAACAACAACATAAAAAAAGCCAAATTAATACCTGACACAAGCTTTTTTTTCTTATTTTCGCAGTGCGTTATTGTTGTTTTCAGCGATATAACTTACAATATTACCTGAACAAAATTTTTATATAAAAAAAAACCAGAAGTTATTTATAATATGAATTTATGTGCATATATTCACATATTTCTTTGGCTTAAGTCTCATTCCGTAGTGCATAGATAAGCATATTGTAAATGGTTAATATTAAAAGCTTATGACAGAGATAAACGCATGCGACCGATATACACTTTATGCAACGTTGTATCTTTAGTGAACGCTTAAGGGAATAGAGTTGAAGCTAAGAAAGGGTCCGCTAAGGTATTGTAAAGTGCGTACAAATATTTATATCTATAAAACTATACACACTGGCGACAGCTTACATTTACTCTCTTTTTTGAAGTTACTTTGATGTTAATGGGGAACTGTCTTTCTTTGTTAATGGCTCCACTGAAATTCACAACAGCATATGAGCACGTCAGTTAGTCAGTCAGACTGAAAGACTGACAGGCTAATAAATGCATTTGTGACACTGCACAACTATAAAGTTGCTCTATAATGCAGTGCGCTTGCTTTCGAATAAAATATGTAACAATTTAAAAGCCGGTTGTAGTATTTTTAGTATGTTTTTAAGATTGAGTGTGTATATGCTAGTTGTACCTATATATATATATATATATATATATATATATATATATATATATATATATCAGGCTTAAAGTCATTCACGTGAGTTTATTTATTTGTTTATTTATTTTTGCATAAAAATATTCACACTCGTGCTGTTTTTGTTTTTGTTATAAAAATAGTTGAGCGCAAATGAAATGGTAGGTATGTTAGTGGTTTTTTTTTAGCTTTAAGCTTTTGTTGTGATGTTGTTGTTGTTATTATTGTGTTCTTTTCCTTGTTAGTGTTTTTCTTACAATATGCTTTCTTGCGTTTGTTGTTGCTGTTGTTATTATTTGTGCATATAAAACAGATAGTGTTTGCTTTATGTTTATGTAAGCATTGGTGTATATTTTGTTTTTGGTCTATTTCTTCGTAGTAAGAGTGTATGTCCTTGAAAAACGTGTTAATTTTTACGATATTGTCATGAGCATGTAATTTAAGGTCGTAGCAATTTTGCTTGATTAATATAACAGAATCGATATCAATTATCGGTCTCTCATATCAAATAAGTAATTGAATTTTTTGTAATGTACTTGTTGGACATTTGTTTAATAAAAGAATCGAAAAATTTTTTATTGCTTTCGTAAAACACAGCTAGTTAATTTATTTTGGAAACTTTGAAACCATTAATAATAAAACATTTATTATATTTTGAAAGTTTTTTTAATAGTTAAGATTGATGTGGTCAGATTGTTAAGTTATGCTTAACAAAATTACGAAATTCTTTATGTTAAGTAATTTCGATTTACAAAATTTTTCCAGTACTTATAAGATGATTGTCATCTTCTTCTATCTTCTTCTATTCTAGTTATTAAGAAATTTTGAATAATAAAAATAATGTTATAGATGATGTACAACATATCAGTATAACGAATCTTGCTAAAGAATATTTTTGATATTATATTTAATATTAGTTTAACTTATATTCATCAAGAAATTTTAATTAAAATATTTTAATATTATAGTTGGTAGACAATATATCAGTAAAACGAATGTTGTTACAGAAATTTTTTGATATTATATTTAATATTAACTTAATGAGATCGAGAAAGTAAAGAGAAATTTTGAAAATATTTTTTTATAATTGAAATAAAGTTATATTATCAAAAATAATAAATGTTGCATTATTTATTTTTATATTAATAGGTATAGTATTTTATTACGTTACATATTTTTATCGTAAATCTTTATAATGTTACTGCATACGATACACAAAATATCGAATATGTTGCATATGTTATCGAAAACACTTGAGTAAAACTGACTTAAGAGTACATAAATATCGAATTAGTATTGTTAGATAATCACTTTATTACCGATTCAAAAACGTTAATCATACTCTCCTATACCGTCAGGTAACTGGGTGTAAGCTTTAGAAAAACTGGTTTTTCTTGAAGGCATAGAGCTGCAATGGAAAATTTTTTAAAAATTTAATAAGGTCAAATGTGTGGCGATAATTATGTATTTCCGATTATGTCTTCTGGTATATTATTGATGTGTTATATGTAACTTAGATATGAATAAATTTTTTTCAGTTGTTTTTCTAACTTAAATGAAATATTTTGTAGCTATTTTAATTTTTTTATAAAATAATCAAAAATTTCTAAAAATACAAGATGTAGTAATTTAATATAATTATAATGGCTTTAAGTAATTAAAAAAAATAACATTAAAATTTCCTAATTTGACCAATTAGATCATTGCAACATAATTTTAGTCATACCATACAACAATAAATATTTGTATTATAATCAAAATATTGTTCTATTGATATAAATCTAGTAGAGTCGAAAACATTAGAAATTCTGGCCATTATGATGTAATAAATTTTCTTAAAGTTATTAGTGGTAAATTATTACAAGTGACTATAACGTCTGTATAATATTAATTTTATACTAAAATTAAAATGGGTTGGTATAAGAAGAACACCATTTTTTGTTTTCGCTCTTCACTGTTCCATTCTAGCATTAAAAATGTAATGGCCGCGCAAATGTAAAAAAGAAAATATCAATAAGTGACAGAAGAAAAACGGTTTGTTTGTATTGTTTTCATCACCTTTTCTGTGGCATCATAGTATGAGTAAAATTTCAATCCACGAAATATAATAAACTGTGTGAAAATTGTTATAAAAACTAATTTTAATCCTTAATTTGACTCAAGTGTGGCATGTGTTTTTGGGTTGTGTTAGTGGGAACATATGCAAAATTTGTTATAATATTAATTAAAAGTGAATACTTTTAAAAAGTTTATTATTACTTTATAGTTTTATTTGTTGAAATAAAATTATTTACACATGATTTCTGTCGAATATTGTATTTTTTTTTACCGACTTGCTTAGCAACAACTTTAATACTTGTATAGAAAAGCTAACTTTTAAAAAATTTTAGGTCAGAATCGCATGATATCTTTCAAACAAATCAATTGTTGGCTAAAATATAGCAAAATCATATTTAGCAGGATAGGAAAGTACTAAAACTGTCGAAATAGTTTGCTGTTATTATTAGCACGGTTGTTAAATACGACCCTTAGTGTTGCTATGGCTTTTCTTAATCCAAATATGTAGCTACCAATTAATATATTATTATATGTATATTACGCATTAATTTTTGTGTAAATTAGTTTTTTACACTTAAGTGTTTAAAGTTATAACTATTAAACGTAATAATTGTAAATGATTAAAAGCAAAATTGTATTTGTTCTATGGTATCTGGCGATAATGTATTATAAACAATGGCCTTAACGTATTGATAAATTCTATGCATGTAGAAAATAATTAATTTAATTTTATTAACATATGTAAGCAAATCAGGAAGTTTAAAAAAAATCAACAATTGTATCTATGACTGTTATGGCAATAATATAGTAGACTTACAAATAATTTATTTACATATCTAATCCTAACTAATTGTTTACATATATTTGAGAAATTAATATATTTTGTTTAAGTTTATATTTATTTTTATGTTTAAATTCTATGATTTTAATATGTTTTTAGACAAATTAATTGTTGAAAATAATGAACTCAGTCTGCTTTTATTCAATGATGTTAAGTGAAAACAAAAAAAATAATAATTTTACTTCCTTATGTTTAATTTATGATTTTTTGTTGATAATTATGAATTAATTGTTTACTCGTGTGAAATATTCAATATTTTTGAAACTTCTACTACACTTTTAAAATTTCGCTAATATAGCAAATAATATATACATATAAGTGTACTTTAAAGCAACTTATTGGTGATGTGATATATATTAACATTATTGTGAATTTAAATATTATAAATTTAAAATTCTTTTATAAATAACTCATTCATATGTGAATTGATATAGTCAGGTGCACTACACCATAAAAAAGATACATTTTTCTATATCAACTGCTACTCATTACTAATTAGCTACTTAGACTGTGAACTCACAATGAATTCATTGATAAAATTGCGGTTTACTGTTGGTGTAGATTATCAAACTCGTGCACCTCATAACAGTTCATTGAATAAATTATAAACTTAGTGTTAAAACACTTAGAATACTTTACTTAGCATTTAATTTAGAATAAAAAATAAAAAATTTCACTTACCTTGATTGAAGAACATTAACCAGAATATCCGACGAAGCGAAACGAAATGGCGATAAAATACAGATATTGAAATCACAAATTAACACCTTGTTTTATTTTTAACACTTATTTAGTAATTTATTTATTATTTTTTTAATATTCCTTTTATGTATTTATATGCTTAGCTTATTTGTATAATATTTATAGGATTAACGATACTATTTTCGGTTAATCAAATCATCAGCTGCGTGTCACCTTAACTAAAATACAAAAAAAAAATCATTATAATAAATAATAAATGAATCAGTGAAATTTGCAAAATTAATAATAAAAATATGTCACACGCCCCAATTTACTATTAAAAATAATTATAAAATAAATACTGTAGTAGATTCACAACAACAAAAAAAATATTTATCGTATAATTGTTAATTAGTATTCAAAACAACAAAAATAAAGTAAAGAAACAAAATATATTTATAATGTATCTGTATCTGCGACATGTATTTGCATACTCATATTCACAACTCACTGACTAGTCATATTCTATATCATATATATATACATATATATATATATTTTGTACATATTTAATATTTAAATATTTTTAATTGTTTTTAAATATTTTGTTTAATTTGTGTTGATGTTTTGTCACTTAAACCTTTTGTGGCTTTTGTTACTACAAAAATGACAAAAAAAAACAGAAACCAGAAAAAAATAAATTGTTGAGAATATCTTCTGAAGTATCTGCCAGGTGATAAAAAATGCCGCAAACAAAGATCGCTGGCAATGGGCCAGATGCGCACGACAACCGTAAACGATTATATATAAGAACAAAAAAACAAAAGAAAATATTTAAAAACAAATAAAAATATATTTTCTCATTGTATATTTAATTACAAAAACATATATTATTATTAATTTACAATTACAATTATTGCAGGAAGATATAATGCAATGCAAAATGATTTCGAAATAAAAATTATTACTGAAATAAAGAGCATAATACTGCGGCATTGAAGTGTTCAGTTCAACTTTATAATGAATCATTTGCTGCAGATATAATATTTCTTCAATTTTATAGGTTAATAAATGCAATTAGTAGAACGCAAAACCGAAAAAAAGATATATATATATATACCATATATATAAAACATGATTAAGCTCAGACGTATTTTCTGCAGATAAAAGTTGTCTTGAAATTATTTTAAATGTCAAAACCATGAAGATCAAGTGATTTTAGTCAAATAATAAAGGGCCTTAGCCTTTGCCTTCAAAAGAATTCGGTTAATGTCTTTAATTTGGCCTTTCATAATAATTGTTTTTTTTTTTTTTGTAAATTCTAGAAATTATTTTTGTATTAAACATTGATCACGTAAAAGTCCAATAAACTAGTGACGTCACTATAATGAGTTTTAATATGCAAGAAAAATGGGTGGATTTCGTAGATAACAGGATTTTTGCAATATGATTGAAATAATTAAATATTTTTATAAATACAGATATTTTATAATAAAAAGTCTAGGTTTTTTAAAAATACATAAAATTTACAATAATAAGCTTATTAATTTAGTGTATAAATAAATAAATATTTTCGAAATATAATAAATTTATGTATGGTATATATTTTTGCATTTTTACATTAATTATAAATATGATTAGAGAGTTATTTATTAATTCAAAAGAAGAAGAATACAATTGTATAAGAAATATACGACATGGCTTGAATATTTAGAACCCATTCAAAATTTTAAGGAATCGTTCCAGAAATTGATCCTACATAAACATTATTAGTCATTAAAACTGTTAAAAATAATGTTTTAATATCTGAAAATGATATTTAATATATTTTGTTTTGTAATGCGGCATTAAATCAAAGCATAATTAAATAATAGCAAACTAACTAAAATAGAAAACTTTAAATTGAAAAAACAAAGGTCTACTTATGACCTTTGATCAGTAGATTAGTCTACTGACTTTTTGTTATATGTAGAAAATAAAATTACAAGAGTATAGTGGGTAATTAGTGAATAACACTTAGAAAAATCATTGAAAATTGTAGTATTTATCAGGTAATGAAGATTTTTCCACTTAACAAAGTTGGAATAATTGCTTTAAATTATCTAATTTAATTTATTTATTTATTTATTTATTTGAAGTCAATAATATGTATTTGCGAGTATAAAAAATTTGGAATATTATAAGAAATTTTTTGAATTTAATATTCTAATCATCGCCGAAATTAAAATTAATTGGGATGCATATATTAGTGAAAAATGATCAGATAGAATTTGGTTTATATATAAATATAAAAACTATATAGGACTGTCTTTTAAACAAAAACGTACTGTAGACCAGAAAAATATATAATAACTTTGGTACTACTATTTTTCAAAAAACAGTGAGTATACTATACGGAATGGTGGTATTGATGATACCACCCCTGCTATATAGCTTAAAGTACGATTTATATAGCAATACGATATATAAATAATTTTTTTTCTGTGAAAAGCAAATAATTTTATATATAAAATATATATTTATGATATGAATTGTTCATTAATTTTGTCAACTCCTTCTTTAATCTCTATTTCCCTGTGAAAAGCAAATAATTTTATATATAAAATATATATTTATGATATGAATTGTTCATAATTTTGTCAACTCCTTCATTAATCTCTATTTTTTTTCTAATTATATGTTTCTTAAGTTTAATAATTATTTAATTTTTCAAGCATTTATTTTATATATCACTGTTTTTTTATTACTATAATTTTAAACTTAAGTTCAATAAAATAACATTTATTGTTGCAAGAGATTAAAAAAATATATATGTTTTGAATGCAATACGATCATTTATTAAATATGATTAAAGTAAAAAAAAATAGTTTTCTGCTTAATTACTTGTTAATTACTTGCTGTTATCTTTTTTTTAATATATAACTCTATTCTGTATATAAATATAAATATTTTAATATATAAATATTTTTGTCTTAATTAATATTACCATATTTGTAATTTATTATTTATTATTAAGACGAAAGTTGCCCTCTTTTCTTTCTCATGTCTTTCTATTCATTTTTATCTTTTTAATTTATTTGCTACATTTTAATAAAATTTTATTTTTTATTTTGTGAAATTTTATTTTACTATTTAATTTTTTACTTACACAAATATTATTTAAATTTTTTTTATTTTTATACAATTTTAAAATTGTAATTTAATAAGATACTAAGTTTTTTTAAACTTAATTTTTACACAATTGTTTTAATCGTTATTTTATTAAACTTATGTACATTTTAATTTATTAATTTTTTTAAATTTAAATTTGGATTTAATTAAATTTTTATTTTAATTTAAAACAAATTATTACAATAATAAAGTACTTATTATAATAGAATTTACTATTATAGTAATTAGGATTAGTTAGTTATAAATCCGTCCATTGTTTTTTCTCTTCTATTTGTTATTTTTAATTAAACGCTTTAAATGAATATAAATTATTAAATGGAAAATATAATTTTGAAACAAGAAGCCGAATATAAAAGAGTTTTGAATATATTAATAATTATTCATTTATTTATAAGTAAAACTTTATTCAGTTTGTAATTTTCAAATAATTTTTAAATTAAGTTTCTCATGATTATCATTAAAGCATCTGAAAAATTATAATTAAATTTATTTTTAATTATTAAAATTGTTTAGAAATAATGAGTTTTCCATCACTTTTTGTTTTATATTCTATAATTTTATTTTTTCTATAATTATTTTTTTTTTAACATTACCTATAAATTGAGAGCCACATTGTAGTATTTTAATTAACTAGAATTTTGTTTAATAAAAGTAGTTACTTAAACGACTATATATTATTTAACGATATCATAAAATACGAATATTTGTTTTAAAATTTACATTTTTTATTGTGTATCTAAATATCTCTATTAACTAACATATTTATTGGATTTTTATTATTGAATATATCATTGTATTAATTGAGTACAAAAATTATTGCTTGAAAATTAATAAATTTTCAAACTATTCAAATTATTTTGTTGGAAAATTATATATTTTTATTTTTTACTGTTGTAGAACAAAAACACGAAAGATGATGACATTGACGAAAGAAATAGAAACTATTAGTTTCTTAATAGAAACTGTTGGTTTGACAGAGAGGTATGTTTCAATAGTAGAGAATTACGACATCAAAATTTTATTATTTATTAATTAATTAAGTTTTTAGCTGACCATACAGCTGTTTCAAGTATTGTGAAAATGGAATTATTTCTTTTATTCAATGTCTCGTTAATGATTTTTTGAGAAAGCAAGTACCAAGGGTTGAACTCGTACCCTGCCAAATTTGAAGCTCAGAGTCAGCGTTCATTAGCCAACTGACCCAAAGCTGTAATTAAATTGTATATTCGAACTTGAAGATTTTGTTTATTTGCTGTGAAAGTTCATTAATAAATTCACTTGCTGTGTTATATTAGAATGAAACTATAAACCAGCTGTAGAATAATTAAATTAATTAATTATAGTCAATGTTAAGCAATATATAATTATTTATTTTTACAATAAATTTTTATAAATTGGAATTTATTTAAAATGAATAGCTTTATTAATTTTTTTAATGTTCATTTTAATTAAACTATAATTAAAAAAATTTAATAAACTAAATATTTGTTTTTCAGTACAGAAACTATAAGAAATAAATATTATTTAATTTTATCTATATAGAATTATTTCTGTTATGGTCTACAGTAAGTTTTCTCATAATTGTTATAAAAACTATTGCAATTTAAATAAATAAATATTTTTGTGTGTAATAAAATTAAAAATTAAAGTTAAAATTATGATAAAAAAATAAAAAAAATTTAATTAAAAAAAAATGTTGTTAAATTTTATCTATATAGAACTATTTCTGTTATGGTCTACAGAAAGTTTGCTCATAATTGTTTTAAAAACTATTGCAAATGAAATAAAATAAAATTTTTTATATGTAATAAAATTAAAAATTTAAGTTTAAGTTTTGATAATAAAAATATAAGCATCTTACTAAACATACTAAATACCTTACATTTACTAAATATATTTATGATGCTTTTGAAAATATTTACCACTTTCTTTGTTTACTATTACTTTTAATTTTATCTGTAGTTTATAATTTATTTATAATATATTTTTTTCATTAAAAATCTTATGTTCTGTTTTTTTTTATTAAATATAAAAATAAAACTGCATACACTTGCCAAATATTGCACTTCCGTAGTTAACGAGAAACAACCAAATAATTTTCGAGGCGTTTGCAAATATATTTTATTTTTTATTCTCAAGCACAGCGGCGTTCTTTCTTAAGTGTTCAACTCTTTTAGTACAAATGTCAAATTTGTAAAATAAAATGTTATTTATATTTTTACCTTTAATTAAATCATGATAATTATTTATTATATATGACGTTGAAATTATAATACCATTTTCCGCCAACGAAAAAACAAAAAAAAAATTCAATAATTGCAGAAATTATTTTCATTAAAAGTGAAATAAAAACTTTTCAATCTCGATGGCAAAAATCAAGCGGAAATTATACAGTAACAATTGCAAAAACTTTTATTTATAACATTTTTTTTTAAATAATCAAAAGTTCACAAATTGCTGATATCAGCAATAAATCGACACACCGATCGACTGACTGACAAACGGATAAACTGACGAACTGACAAACTGACAGTCGAGCTACGAACTACTAATGTGTAAGCATAGACGTATAATTATTGATGATTTTTTCAATAATTTTTATTTACAGCGAATTGTTCCCTTAAAATCGCAAAAAAAATATTAAAAAACAAAAAATATATGTAAGGAAAATTCAACACTTATACAATAAAGTTATTAAAATTGAAAAAAGTAAATATATTTTTATTAAATTATTATATTTGGTATCTCTGAGTATTATCAGTTGTTACGAGTTAGAAATTTGCTGCCGCATCTCTGTATATTGGTTGCATGTTTGACTTAATGCGACTAAATTAAATTAAAAATAATTTGAATAACTAAAGTGACAAACTCGTGAAAGACAATTCAATTACTAAAATATATTGATAAATAGAATAAAATAGAATAAAAAATCATTAACACTAAAACCACAAAATTGCACAAACAAAAAAAAAAAAATTAAAAAATTTACCACAATTATTCGTTGCAATTAGATGTTTTTTTTAAAATATATTTTAATTAAATGTTTTAACTTGATGCTTATCAAAAATGTATAATTTCAATACATAATTATTCAAATGAACTGTGAGAATAATTTTTTTTAAATAAATTATTTTGAATTATAGCACGCTGCGCATTCACTCACAATTTGTTTACAATTAATTTTAATTCAGATTTTTTTTTTTAACAGTATAATTTTCTTTGCCTTATCAGATCACTAGATCAGTGCTTCACTTGTTAACCACTCAAAGGTTCGCGCGAGACTATCCTCCAACCGGCTTCGGTATTGTGGCTATACTAGGTTGGCAGCCCATATTGTTGTTGTGAAATATTATTGCTGGCTCATTAGCCGCTGCTACCGTCGTTGTTAATATCGTAAGCAAATGGGTTTCGATCGCTGCTGCTAAGGTCCACGCGGTTTATTGTATCTCTTCATATTGAAATTTATTGTTGTTCATAATTGAAATTTGTTTTTCTCGCTTTAGACGCCAACAGCCCCTCGTGACGCGATCGTTGCTGTAAAAATTTATGCAAATACAGCTATTTTTGTTGTTGTGCAGTGGGTATTTTTTTTTTGTTTATGCTCTTCTCTATTTTTTTTTTTGTTTTTATTTTTTCTACTATCTTGGTCCAGTTTATCTTCTGCTCTTGCTGCAGTGTCTTATCAAGTGAGAGCGTTGTTCTTGCACTTGACCGTTTGTTTCGGTGCTTTTGTCGTAACGCTTGTGCTCTCAGTCTTTTAAGTTGTAATTGAGTACCCAGTAGTCAATAGTTTGCTTGATGATTTGGTTTGAAGTGCATTTTCATGCAAACCCATTTCATTACTTTATATTACTTAAGCGAAATTAGGTACTCAGTGTATATTGAGTGAATTTTTTTTAAACACAGTAATAAATTTTTATTATTAATTATTAATTAATTTATAAAATTTAATTTTTCAGTTTAATAAATTACATCTAAAATATTTACAAGATTTTATATTTTAATAAGTTTATTATTTATTTTTTATAATAAATATATTTACTCGAAACTCGAAACAGCTGTATGGTCAACCAAAAATCAAATTAATTAAAATAATATAAAATGACTTTTTGTTCTTGCAGTACACTACTATTCAAAAACCCTTTTAATAAATAAATTTGTAACTAATGTAATTATTAAATATTTGATTATTAAAATTATTTTATTATTAATTTTGCTTATTATTATGTTGAGCCTTGTCCGAGTTAGTTCATCTGGGCACTTTTATTCTTTGATAGGTGGGCGTTATCTGCAGAGTCCCACTCATCTTACTGACTAATTTTAGTATTCTTCATAAGTTTTGTGTTTATTCGATGACTGATCTAAGATCTGCTTACCGCCCCGTGTGGTTAGTGATTACTCTAAGATAAGATAGTGCTAAGTAGGGCAGCCTGTCGGTTTTCGCATATAGCTTCAAAGCTCTGTTCCTTATGTATATTTTGACCGGATCTATTCAAAGGTCTCTTAGCATGTCATTTGTGCGGATGTACCATGGCACTTTGAAGAGTCTTCGGAGAGCTTGACTATGAGTAACTTGTAGCTTCTGGATAGTAGCTTTGCTATAAGCGACACACCCATAAAGAAGTGCTTGTTTAATTATCTAAGAATTTAAAAAAATACTTTGCAATTGGTACTTCATTATAACGAAAACTAGCAAAACTTTCAGTATTTAAAAACTACATATGGATTTGCCATCTAATATATTTAATTAGATAAAAATCGGGGCTTCACACTTGTTCCGGTTAAAAACAAAAATAATATATCGGTTCGGTCCTGGTTTTCGCTCCGGCAAAAATATCGGCTTTTTTCGGTTCGGTTTCGGTTCGAAGCTCTAATAAAAATATTCCACTATTGAAAAACGAAGAGATGACTTCCCTAATGTTGTTGTGTTAATGATTATTTCACAACATAGAAATGCCAATACTGAAAAATGGATAATTATAAAACATATCTACTATTTACTTATGCTTTCATAGATTAGCGTATTTCGCAATTCTGCAACACATGTCTTAATCATTTTAAATTAATTTTGTAAATTAAATTAAAAAATAATACAACAAAAATATGCTAAAAGCCATACTCTTCCTAATTTGATTATTCAGTTTTTTATAAATAATTAATAATAATTTATTAAATCGTTAAACGGAAATTGGTAAATATGGTAAATATATAATATAAATAGGTAAATATAAATTTCTCTATAGTAATATATTTTTATTTTGACATTGACTTCATCTGTGCTATAATTAAATATGGTCTAATTGATCAAGTAAGTTATGAAATAAAAAGTTTTGCAGAACATTACATATATTAAACTAACTATAAGATAAAACTGATTTTTTTTAAGATATATACAAAATGAGAAAAACTAATTTGAGTCCTGTTAAAATGGCAGTAATAAAATGTAGTAATTAATTAAAATTATTTAATTTTAATTTTAATTATCCCGAAAACAAATAAACAAAAAAAAAAATAATAAAAGATAAAAAGTAAATAAAAATAAAAGAAACTAATATCAGTGATCTTTAATCCGATAGTGATAGTAATTATAGATGAGCAATCCCTGATCTGGGGATCTCTGGAAAAGAACATCAAAAAAGTTTGGGACATTTAATATATGTGGAATATTCTTTGAACAATAAACTATCTAGCTTTGGTTTTATGTTTCTTAATTTGGATGTTAAGAATACTATTTGCTTTAGTTGAATGGAAAAATCAATAAAAGTAGGGATTGGGTTGAAGAAGATCAGCATATGTGTTATTACACATGTGTATAAATGTACTAATAAAAATAAGCTCGAATTTTAGCTTTTCTCCTAACTGTCTAAATTAAATTAAATATAGTGAATCAAAATGTAATTGAGAAATTTTAAAAGAATAGGCATCTATATTGTCACCTGCATAACTCTAAAACTCTTAATCGTATTTCAACCAATCCTTCCAGAAGTGAATACGGTAATATGCTTTCACTGATTGGTTGATTTTAGTGGCGATAGTATCTAAGATCGGTATTATAGTTTTCTATTTCAAACGTTTTCTTAGACAAAAACTACTGAAAAACCACAAAACGACTGGCGGATAGAAAAAGCCTACACACTATCAATTAATGGGTGTTTTTCATTGGAAATATGGTCATGTGTTTCACCTTTGCCACATTTGTAGAATAATATACTTTATAAGCAGCATTTGTTTACAATTCGTTCTCAGAATTCATTATCACCACAATTTTTATATTAACTATGTTGTTGTTGTATTTAAAATTTATTTAATTATAATGATACCGAGTCATTTATTCACATGATCTGATTTTAGTGTATATAAGTTAAGTCTCTAATAGGTTTTTTAGTATACATTTTTCTGTTAGGTATGCTCAGCTTATAAGACCATAGTAAGGATGAGATACTGAAGAAGCTTCTAGAAGTTATCAGGATGAGAGCAGAAAAAAAAACAATTAACACTTATTATGTTACAATATTACTGACGATCACCTGACAAACGATTAACTTCGTATAAGATTTTTACTTGAGAAATTGATAAAGTTGAATATTATTCAATCTTAAGACTTAAAGTGTTAGCTATATGAATTATTAGGAGTTGTTAAGGAAATGACATGAATATCTTTGTGGTATCACTATATGTCCTGAATCTATGGAAAAGTACGTTTTCATTAGCTTCGTTAGACCAGTTAACTTACTTCAAATTGCTTGAATTACTTCAATCTCCAGTAAGTTAACTAGTTTAGTGAAGCCAGTGGAAACGTACTTAAAGTCTTAGTATTTTTGTTGTCAAGTTTGCACTAAAAATTATAATAATACTAATAACAGGAATAGTGCTTAAAAGTATCTAAAGATTCTGTGTGATTTGCTAAAATTTGCTTTCAACAAATCGTCGTTGTTTTATTTGTATTAAGCAAATTTAAAATTTATTTATTAACAAACGTTATATCAAAGATAAATAGTATTATTTAAATATTGAAGAGATTTATTAACTGCATTATACTTTCTATGGAAGTATTTAAAATTTTATGGGTTTAAAGTTCAAGAAGGAATAAATCTTAAAGTAATAAATATTTTATTGAGTCATACTGAATAACAATGAAACTGTGGCGGACATTGGCAGAGTAATTGAAACGACAATTAAACGGTAATAACTTTAAAAAGGCAATAACTTTTAATTACAATTCATTGAATATAAATAAACAATGAATTACCATATGAGTTGAGATGTATTTAAGGTAAAATTGAAATCTGTTACATGCACGACGTGAATGAAATAAATTTACAAACTATACCTATAAATACATATATATATAAATATATGGATATATAAAAAATATCATAACGAAAAAAATGTGGGGAATCACCAATGACTTATGAAAGAAAAACAACTGATTTTAATCCCAGAGTCATACACATATAATCATTTTAAGGGCAATATTAATGTATAAAAATAAATTCTTGGTAATAATGATAATAAAGAAAAAAGCAATAAAAATCGCAATTTTTGATGTTGTTAAGTAGCTTTTAATGCGGTTTTTTGGAGAAATACCATAACTTTTAACTATAAATTAAACAGATAAATTTTGCTAACCGCACCGCACTTGACACCTGCTTTAGTGTTAATAATTTTAAGTGCGTGCGTATCTTGCAAACTATTTAACTGCAACATAAAATGCGGTTAAGTAATTGCAACTCTAATGTTGCAACAAAAGGAAGGCGCTTTTCCTTTCATCGCCGCTCATAATAAAATAAACGAGATTTACCGCAGTTGCCTTCACAATCCATGCCGTATTCTTGGGTGCTGGAAACTTGCTGGAAAACTTCCGGTAATAATTTTCACACAAAAAGTAGTCGGGGCAAAACTTCTGCATTAAATGTAAAATTCTGCAGAACATTTTTCAAAAGCATTAAGAAATGCAACTAACCGTGGCACAAATTAAGCAGCTAAGATTGCAAGAACATGTCTTGACATTAACAATACTGGATTTGTAGTGCAAGGATTATCCATTGTCGGTTGCATCTGTCTGCACTTTAGGAACTGACAACATTGTTGTTATTTTTATTGGTACTTCAACGTTTGTGGTTGTTGGTTGTTGTTGCCTATGTGAAGCAGTAATTTAGGTTAAAATTCATTCATGACAATAAAACCACATTCTAATTCACGGAAAGCGTTTTCCGATGAAACAACCGGAGACAAGTGCTGTTCTCTTCGTAGCGAACTAACTACAGCGCGTAGCGAGCAAAAATATTCCAAAGAATCTAAGTTGGAAATTTTATGTAAAATGTTTATTAATTAGTTGCATCCGCTAGCGTAATTTTCGAATGAAAATTTCCTTTAAAATTTCTAGAACCATGTAATTCCATTAAGTCTCAGAAACGCCAGCAGTCACAAGGTGTGAAATCGCTA